TATATTATATATATATATATATATATATATATATATATATATATATATATATATATACTATATATAATATATATATATTATATATATATATATATATATATATATTATATATATATATATATATATATATATATATAAATATATATATATATATATATATATATATTATATTTATATAATATATATATATATATATATATATATATATATATATATTATACATACATACATATATGTATTTTATACACTCACACATTATGATGTTTAATGTATATAATGGCAAGCAGCACTATTGGAACAAGCATCTCGGTCAGAAATTATGTATATTAAAAGAAACTTTTTTTCTGTTATGAAATAACAGAAAATAATTGTTTGTGTTTCTTATGGACAGTTTATCAAGTTTTTTTTTTTTATATTTTGGGAAGCTGTAATGTGGAAGGAACATTCACCTTAATGTTTGTAAACCATAGACCATGGATTTAAGGAAGAACCTTTAATGTTATTATGAAGGTCCTTTTTCACGGAGTAAAAAGCGTTAGGTTTTCGACTTTTGCGACACCTTTTGTGTAATCAGTAGAAAGGTTGATGTAGATGGATTGCAGTTAGTACAAAGGAAGAGTTTATCACCTGTAGTTGTGATGTAGTATGCAAGAGATTAACAACTTGGCTCGGTCTTCTTGTGGGTGATGACCACACCAGATTCGGTGATGTGTAAAGTCTGCCGCGTCTGGCACTTGCTTGCAATATTTCTGTAGTGTTGTTTTTACAGTAAGTCAGTTGTTGTATTTAGGATCTGATTAATGTAAGTAGGTTGAATAGATTGGTTGATATTAAGGATTCCCTTTCGGAATGGCGTGAAGAAAATGATGCATTGCCCCCATGCACTTGAACGCTGCTGTTAGTAGCAGTAGTTACAAGGACTCACTTGGTAGTCACATATATACAGTGAAGGTGACTTACACTGGTGATAGGGGTTTTCTTTGGTGTTTTGGGATTATGGTTGAGCATGCAAAAAGGTTTAAATTCTTATATCTTTGTGGAGTCTTTATTGAGGGGATACTTAGTGGGCTAACAATTGTTTTTTGTTTTTAATGTTACTCCAGATTTTACTACATTTTGAAATAGCTTCTTGTAGGTTCCTATTTTTCTCTTCTTTCTCTTGTTATATGTTGGTATTTTATTTATTTATTTTCTGTCTTTTATTTGGCCTTTTGATTGCCCTTTCATATTTATTGTTTATTGTCTGTTTTTCTTTCTCACTGAATGCTTGATTTTGAATCATATTTCACAAAGTGATCTGATTTTTTCCCCAAAGATCTAAAGCAAGTATTTTTCTCTAGCCTCATAGCTTCATATAAATAGAATTTGGAGGTTCCATTCCTTGTTCTGTTTTGAATCCATTTTCTCTGTAAAGTTTTGTGCTATATTAGATGTAAGAGTAAGATGCTATCGATAAGATCATTAAGTTGCTTAAGATAAATAGAATTTTTAATTTCCATGTGTCTTGTGCTGTTAAGGCCAAAATTGCACCTATAGTTTATCTCCAAAAATAATAGTCTGTAGGAAAACTTCAGATATTTGGACTTAACTTTTTTTATAGGGCCTATTTAGAAATAGTTTCAGTCCATTTTTGTAATATAGTAAAAAAAAGAATTGACTTTATTATGCCTTTTTCCTCTTGATATTACATTTTTATTTTTTTCATCTTTGAATAAATGTACATTTTTTAAAACTCACTACTGGACTTGTGTGCAGTAGCACTTTTTTCTATAGTGTAGCTTTTGCACTTTTCACAGCAGTTCCATTTTTTGCTCTTTTAGAGAGAAGGTAATGTTCAGAATGATCTGCAATCTCTTTTGGAAGTTCAAAAAAAAAAAAAGAAAAAGAAAAGAAAAGAAAAAAATTCCTTGCTTCACATGGAATCCTTTGTGATGCATTGATCATTCTGAACATGGCCTGTGTTGGTCAGCACTGTGAAAGGGCAGTGGCATGGCAGATACAGTTGCCAGAGATATGGAGTTCACTAATAGTTCTCTTGGCGTAATTAAGCAAAGAACTAGTCTTTTGTAGTTAGTTTTTGATAAGTGAGTTAAATGTTCAACTTTGTTTGAAAAGTAATCTGCATGGTTTCAAATCATTTGCAGGCTTTATGTATTAGAATCAAGTCAGATCCTTCAGATATTGGGATTTCAAAATGTAAGACCAAGCAGTTTATAGTTAACTCAAGTCACTATAGGGTCATAGTTTAAATGTTTTTCAGAGTAATAAAGATTGAATATCATATTATATATAAAACACAAGTATGAATAGTGAAATATGAGACACTGTGATCAAGCATTTTATAGTAGATGTGTAGTGAAATAAATATGTTGTCCTTGTCAAAATATAGTGATGCTAACAAAATACTAATAGTTGACAACACTATATGTGGCTGAGAATGATCTGTGACGTTTAACATTGTAAATAACTGCTACTTGTGAAGATCTGTGAGTTTAATAACATTTCCTTGTCAAATGAATTAGTTGTAGTTGTCCAGCATTATGTTTTATAACACTCACCAGAGGCTGTAAAGCATTGCCAAAAAGATTGGAAAAGTGAAAGATCTGAATGTTAGGGAAAAGAGAATTAGCAGAATGGGTGTTGGTAGGTGTCGTGCCATGTTCTGCGGTGTCGCTGCCCTGGGCTGCTAACACAGTAACTGTAAAGTAACACTCGTCCTGTTGCTCCTTCTTCCTGCCTCCTCCATCCCTCCTGTGTGGGTCCACAACTACAACAGACTGGAGGTGAGCCCAGCTGAACCTGCCCGTGTACGAGCCTTCTCTGTGGGGTCACGTGTGAGCCTCAGGCTAGCGGGTGGCAGAGCCGGCCAGGTGGCAGGTGGCACAGCAACTGCCACTTCTGCCTCTGTCACCGAGTTCTCACCTTCTATTAAGGAGAAGGGAAAACAAGTGAAAAGCAAATCATCAAGGTAGGGTTGTATTTGTTATGCACGTCACAGACTGGCCCATCTTGGGGTTGCGGGTGACTTTGTTCTTCAGGCAAAATGTTTATCCTATCCCATACCATTGTATGAAGTGGGGTTCTGTCTTGTGTTGAAGTTATTGTTTTATTTTTTTATTTTTTTATTTTTATTGTGGAAGTGTAATTCAGTGTATAACAATGTTCCAATATGCTTGTGGCAACATGGATGCTTGCTGGCTGCACGGGGGGCTACTAGCACAGGCTACCAGCATGGATGGTACTACAGTGTACCAGAATTAAATGTGCATTATATATATATATTTTTTTTCTTTATGTTGTTGGAGGTTAAAACAATAGATTTGGAAAAGGAGACTGGTAATATCCTTCAAATACTCATTTTGTGTTTAAATTTTTAGTTGTAAATAAAGAAAGTAGGTGAGGCTTTGTATATAATGGATATTTATTGAACTGCAAGGCTGCTTCATTTGGACAAGTGTAGTTATTGTGATTCTGTGTTCATAATGCTGCTTTGGAATAATACAAGGTCTTATTATATACCTTTTTAAAGATAAAGTATGAACAAGTATGTAGAGCTAAATTCAGGAGATTGTTATTTCACAAATTTTAGGAAATTCCTCAAGTAGTGTTTTATGTGAGCTGCTGTTTGTGTTTTTTTTTCTTTCTTTTTTGTTTTCCATTGGTTTTACTTTTACCTTTTGTATTAATAGGTGTATGCAATATCCAATTCCTTTATCTAATGAAAACTTGGCTCCTGTTATATGGATATAAGATAGTAAGATAATATGCTTTGTCTTTGTAATAAAGGCAATAAGAAATTGGTTGAAAGGAAAATGTCTATCTTGGTATAATTTTGGTGTGAAAATTTTGCTATTTGGTATAGTTTCTTTATAAAATAAAAGTTTTTATTATTTTTCCTTGTGTGTCATAGCACTTTGAGTGAATATATTAAGAAATTGGCTTCTGTTTTGTTTTTAATCAAATAAAATGTTTCATGCACTGCAATGATATTGAAAAAAATTGTCTAGAATAATAATTTCATTCTGTGGCTTTGCAGCGCGCCAATTCTGGGGACGTCGCCTATCTCCAACTCGTGGTCAGGGACCCCTGGGACATTCTTCCGGGGCTTCCTCCAAGCACGGAACCAAGAGCGGAACAACGACCTGATGGAGTTTGACTTCACCAAGAACAAGAGCTGCGACAGTATATCAGCTGAGAAGGAGAAAAAGAGTAGTAGTATAGAGAGCATTAAGAGAACCTTCACAGGACAGAGACATCGTTCCAATTCCAAGTCCTCAGGGAATGGCAAATCTTCAGTTTTTGATTCTATGAAAAGAGACAAAAAGAAATCAGAAAGTGAGTTGTCTGCCAAGGGTATGGAGATCCCGGAGGGTAAGAGTCCCTTTGAGCTTGATTTTACACCGAGTCCTCGTGGAGGTGGTTCAGATGTTTGTGATGGGTACTTGCCTATGAATTTGAGGCCTGCGGTCTCCAGTGGTCAGTCCTCTGCAAACTCTGAATACCTAGAGATGAACAGCAAAGATTTCTTAAGGGGACATGGTTTAAATGACCCATACTTAGATATGTCTAAAAGCAGTGACAGATTAGTTTCCTCACTGAGTACCTCAGGGCCAAACGATGGTTATGTGGACATGAGTCAAGGCAAAGGTCTGGGGACGCTTCCTCTCACACCTGTATCCTCGTCCTCCACAACTTCCAACAGCTCATCTTCCATTGGTGCTAGAGTCAGAAAGATTTCGTCCACATTTAATCCATTGTCTTCCCAAGACTTTTCTTCACAGCAGGACGAGTACATGCCCATTGACCTCCGTGGCAGTTTTGAATCTTCCCATTCTCTTGATGGAGAGAAGAGTAAGAAAAAGAAAAGCAGTAAGAGAAAGTCATTTAAGGACAGCACCAAACGCAAGAAATCAGACCCAATAGCAGTAATGGGGAAGGGAAGTGATGGGGAGAATGCCCAGGAAAGTAGCAAAAAAGGAACAAGTCCCTTATCCTCTCTCTCAACCTTCTTAGGTCGAAAGAATTCCTCAGGCACCCCTCCTAAGACCCCGCTTTCACCTACTGGTAGTCCACTTCCTAAGTCCAGTCGAGGAACTCCTAGTCCATTTTCGAGTCTAACACGCAAGAAAAGTGAAAGTAAGGATAGTAGTAAAGATGGAGCAGCAAAGGAAAGTTCTGGGGGCTCATCAAGTGTAAGCTCAGGCATCGGCACAAGTTGCATTAGAGAATCGAGTAGAGAAGCAGAGGAGAGTGCCATATCAGGTGATAGCTCGAGCGTCGCCTCATCCTCACAGACAGTTCCTAATAGTGGTGACCAGCAGAATAAACAAACAACTAACAACAGCGGTGGTAGCAAGAGAACTTCAGGGATATTTGAAACGTTATCTCAGGCAGACACTAAGCTGGAGGAAAAGCAGAGAAATATAGGCTTAGAGTCAGGTAACACTGATGTTTCTGTCAACAGTCAGCAGCAACATTTAAATATTAATAGCAATGATATGGGGGCATATGTAAACTTATCACTAGGCAGCTCAGATAAGAATTTAAATGTCGAGAATAAACAACGAAAAGTATCCACAGGCTCAGTATCATCAGACTACATGAATGTTTCTCCAATGTCAGCATGTAAAACACCTGAGACACCATCTGACCCTCAGCAACCACGTGAGTATGTGAACATGTGCCCAGGAGGTCGCCCAGAGTCACACAGCACCTCTCTGATTCCACCACAGCCTGCACCTATGCCAGGCACGGTTTCCCCTAAGAGGAAAACCAGTCTTACATCGAAGGGTGAATCTAGTGAAAAGAGTAGTCCCAGTTTAGGATATGGGGGTTCTAGAGATCAGAATCGTCGTGACAGTAAGCGGTTAAGTGGCAGTAATTATGGAGAAGAGAACGATGGTGGTAGTGGGGAAAGTGGGTATTTGTTAATGACCCCAGGACAAACCCCGCCGAAACCTGTTTCTCCTCGCACAGTAACTCGTCGACCAGACATTCCCTCAGCTCTCCTTGGTGGCCGTCCTGATGCCAGCCTCTCTGCCACCTTGGAGCGGCTAAACTTAGGCAGCTCTGGAGGTAGTGCCACGAGTGAAAGATGTCGGAGTCACAGTGGCCCAGGTGCCCCTGAGAGTTCTGCAGTAGGTGGCGAGGTGCGGGTAAAAAAACAATTATCAGAACCAAGAGCTGGGTCAGGGAGCCAAGGGAGTAGTGGTCGGGCAGCATCAGCATGCTCATCACCTGTGTCATATTCACCACCTACATCTCCGACCCTAAGAGGTTCTGTATCATCTGTGTCATCGTTAAGTGAAGGTGGTCTTTCTTCAGCATCTTCCACCTGCACTGTGGTTAATGTGGGTGTTGGACGGCGGGAGAGTGGGCTTGGGGGGTCAGGCCGGGCCCAGGAGACGCCGGTTGATTCTACATCCCACGCTAGTGTCTCCTCTTCCTCTTCCAGTCAGCAGTCGACTTCAACAGCTAGCAGTGGCTGCAGCAGTGGAGACAGTGGACTAAATTATGTCTCTTTGGATTTAGCTCCAGCTCGTTGTGAGGGCGTGATGCCTTCACCTCTAGCTGGCCGCCGGTCTACAAGTGGGGCTGGAGTTCCTCATACTGCGTGTCTCCAAGAACCTGCGGTTGGGGAGGAAGACGAACCCCTCAGTTATGCTCAAATAGACTTCACCAAGAGTGAGGGTTTGCGTACTACCTCCCTTACCCGCGACAAACGACACTAACATCCCCACCTCATTTACACATGCCTCTCCCTTTACTCCCACACCCACGCAAATCAAAACTGTATAGATGATTTATAAGATTAAGTACATAAGTTAAATAAAAGTAAAAACATCAGTATGACTTTGTGTTTTATTTAATATTTTTTGCATGTAAATCAACGCCAGTACACAATTAGAATACAACTAAATGATCATAATAACAATTAATCATAAAAAAAAAAACAGATCCTTAATAGTTTTGAATAATTATTGTGATGTAATAGAAAGTGCACATAAAAGTAAGAATAATTTCAGGACATGAGCAATGAAAATATGCAGAATTAACACTTTTTAAAAAGAAGAATGTGAATCACATATTAATGCATGCATTGGAAAGTGGAAAGAGATAATGAGTTTGGATGCTCCAAAATTTATGGTTTCCATTTACCTTTTTGTAGGAGACACTTTTTTAATTTACTATGAAACTACCTTAAACTGATTAAGATTACATCAGCAAAAACTTCACATTGATTTTGTATTGGAGAAAAAAATAGCATGAATAATACACTTTTAAACTTAATAGATGTAAAGAAAAAAATCAAATTAAATTATATATTTATACTTTGGTAAGAAAGGGGATCACAATAGGTAGAATGACTTTTAACAGTCAAAATGCTAGCAACTAAATGCAATGGAGTATTTAATAAATATGAACAGGAAACAAAATGTGAAATAGAAAATGGTGATAAATCAATCTAATTGCAACAACAAAAAGAGAAAAACGGATTAAACATGTGCAAGGAAGTGTTATAAAACTATCCATAACAAATGGCATCTGTAGCTGGGTTATGGTCGAATGCTTTGGTATATCCCTCAGAATAGGGCGAAATAGATATTCATTTATCTTCAAACTAGGCAATAAAGGATTTCTGGTTTTGTGAAACCCAGCCAAGTTATCTAGCCGGAACCTATTTATTGATAAAGCAAGTTTCTTTTACCTTTTACTCCTTATCATTATCAAGAAAAATTAGGGATTCATGAAGTGGGATACGTTCCCATGGTTACATGTTCCTAACACGTCTGTATTTCAGTTTATTGGAAGGCATTGATGCCGAAAAAAATGTAATTGAACTCTTAATTAAAGAAAAAATACTTGATTTAATTTCTTTTACTTCAAGTAATATAATTGCCTGGCTACAGAGAAATTAGTAGACCATTATCAAAAAAAAAAAAAAAAAAAAAAAAAAAAGTTAGATTTTTTTTCACGAAACTGTGGAATTCGTTGTTTCAGTCGTCGACGAGTTCTCTGCTCATATTGTTTTAGCTGATACTTTATCCACATATTAAGCATCTGGACTTGGTCCGTGGAGTCTGGAGTAGAAATGCACAACTAAGGAGTAGAAATGTACAGCAATCTCAAAATTGTATTAAAGATACTGTGATATCCATAACAATAACAGCAACTTTGACACAGACATGATACGTGAAATGGGCAACTAAACTATATTTTTGTGGTATTCTGATAACATCCTCACTTTTCTTCAGAAAGGGAAATGCACTAAATAATTTCAACAGATGAGTGGTAGAGTTAATCAGTTCTTATACTTTTGGATGAATATTTCTTTGCAGGCTTAGTAAAGGAAGAAAGAAACGAACACATTGACATAAAACTTTAAAAAGTAAATATTTGCTCATTACATCGAAAAAACTGTATTCTGAACAATTGGTTCTTGACAATGAAGCAAGAATTGTGGTAGGCAATACAGGGACGAAAAAATGTAATGGAACTTATACAGGGAAAGTTTTAACAAACGATTTAAGAGAAACTGGAAATAGAGGTCGCTAGTCAGTGAACATCTCTCTCTCTCTCTCTCTCTCTCTCTCTCTCTCTCTCTTCTCTCTCTCTCTCTCTCTCTTCTCTCTCTCTCTCTCTCTCTCTCTCTTGACCTTCGCCTTTTCTCTGTCTTTTTTGAAAATTGTAGAAATTTTGTAAAATGATATCAATTAACGGATATAATGATAAGCGGTAAATATATGAATTATGTATTTAAATTATATTAACCTCTAACGAGTACGTAAAGTGGTGACTGGGTAGTTATCTACCGTCCTTTAAATAAATACTTGGCAACACTTATACAAAATATATACAAATAGAGCTTCCACAATTTTACGTTGGGGGTGTTTATACTATAAAAATAAACATAAACGAGATTGCTAGTTCTGGGCTTGGCCCGTAATCTAGCTATTTTCTTTATAGATGACATAATACCTTTATTTAAGGACCTTTTCTGTACTCTAAAAAAACAGTTGCTGGAAGCTTTCGGGGCCGTTGGCACTACAACCTGGGTCCTGACGTCATCTACGACTACTTCAGCAGTGCGGACGAAAATACTCTGTAGATTTGGAATGGACAAGTCTGGAATTTATTGTTAAATCATTCGACCTCATTTGTTCTTTGTAATTTGACATGTCAGGGAACAAAAATAATTCCAATAACATTATTACGTTTAGCGATTTCCTTGTGAAAATTTGAGGTGGCAGCTCCACGGGGACACCACGGAAATTGGGATTCCATGGTATATTTGGGACTCCTGTCGCTGCCAGTGACTGTTAAGGGATCTCGGATGTACTCTAAGAGCAGTACTTTTATTATTGTTATTATTATTTTATCTTATTGCACGCAGTCGACCAGCTTTAGCCTTTATTTATTCAACGCCGTCATCTGAAAGCTGGGAAATCGAAGCGTCACCTTTATAAGGATCGAAATGACATTTTTAGAAGGGTTGAGGGGTACCTTTACAAGCACTCACGGATATTTAAGAAACGCCCAAAAAGCACCACTGAAAAGTCACCTTTATCAGGGCCGAAGGGGTACCTTTAGACGAGACAAAAACCTTTCATGGGAATGTCCGAATGCCTCTGCTTTGACTGTGTTTAGGGCATCAGCTAAATTTAATCCGAACCTCACCGGAACTGTTTTTTCTTTCTATTTTCTTCTTTCTTCTTAATTGGGGCATCAGCTAAATTTAACCCGAACCTAACCGGAACTTCTTTCTTTCTTTTTTCTTCTTAATCTTTACGCTTTTAAGAATTTCATCAAGGGGATGTAAACCAGGCGGCGGGCGTTCTCAGACCAGAGGAAGTCCAGATGGTTGAACCTTCTGACCGGAACTTTGTAGTTTAGCGTCACGTTCGGAAGTTCCTTTGCGATTCGCGCCACATCCTAAAAAAAAGAAAAAGTGGTAGCCAAGTAAGGCGTGTATGAGAATGCTATAATACGTCACGGAATTGTGTAAAAGCACCTGTAAAACTAGTAACTGCGCGGCAAAATGGCAGGAATGATTGCAAAACACTTCATGAAAGCTGATACTAAAAAAAAAAAAAAAGTTCAAAATAATGGATTACTTTTCCGCCAAAAAGAAATGTAAAAATAATTAAAAAGCGTGACATTCCTTTCTTGCACATAGTACGTTTATCTAAAAGACTCCAATATACCACAAAAGACATTGAAAAAAAAAACACCGCAAATGAAAAAAAGGAAGAAGAAAAAGAAAAGAAAGAAAGAAAGAAAGAAAGAAAGAAAGAAAAAAACTGCCCGATTTCGCACTAAATTTACTTACTCTAGGCGTGTTGATCCAGTCATCTTCTGACCAAAACAAACCCACGGGGACAGTGACTCGTTTTAGCGAGTACTGGCGGGGCGTGAGTGACCCATACTCGTCGAGGTTTCTTGTTGGGCCGTAGTCAAACGCTTGAAACCTCCCTGTAAAAGAAGGAAAGAAAAAAAAGAAGAGGAAGAAGAAGAAAAAGGGAAAAAAGAAGAAAAAGAAAAGGGGGAAAGAAAAAAAAAAAAAAATAGGAAAAGTAGAGGAAGAAGAAGAAAGGAAAAAAAAGGAAAAGACAAAAAGAAGAAAATGGGAAAGGAGGAAGAAGAAGGAAAAGGGAGAAGAAGAAAAGGAAGAAGAAAATGGGAAAACATGAATAAGAAACAAAGGGAAAAAAGAGGAAGAAGAAAAGAAAAAAAAAGGAGGAAAAAGAAGAAGAAAGAAAGAAATGAAAGAAAAGGTTAATGACTTCCTTTTCGTAATATTTAGTCGTATAATAAAATACGAAGACAGTAGAAAAAATACAACAGCAAAGATCAATCGAAAGTTAACCTAATTACAATTTGGGTAATCACCTGTGTCATATTCACCACCTACATCTCCGACCCTAAGAGGTTCTGTATCATCTGTGTCATCGTTAAGTGAAGGTGGTCTTTCTTCAGCATCTTCCACCTGCACTGTGGTTAATGTGGGTGTTGGACGGCGGGAGAGTGGGCTTGGGGGGTCAGGCCGGGCCCAGGAGACGCCGGTTGATTCTACATCCCACGCTAGTGTCTCCTCTTCCTCTTCCAGTCAGCAGTCGACTTCAACAGCTAGCAGTGGCTGCAGCAGTGGAGACAGTGGACTAAATTATGTCTCTTTGGATTTAGCTCCAGCTCGTTGTGAGGGCGTGATGCCTTCACCTCTAGCTGGCCGCCGGTCTACAAGTGGGGCTGGAGTTCCTCATACTGCGTGTCTCCAAGAACCTGCGGTTGGGGAGGAAGACGAACCCCTCAGTTATGCTCAAATAGACTTCACCAAGAGTGAGGGTTTGCGTACTACCTCCCTTACCCGCGACAAACGACACTAACATCCCCACCTCATTTACACATGCCTCTCCCTTTACTCCCACACCCACGCAAATCAAAACTGTATAGATGATTTATAAGATTAAGTACATAAGTTAAATAAAAGTAAAAACATGTCAGTATGACTTTGTGTTTTATTTAATATTTTTTGCATGTAAATCAACGCCAGTACACAATTAGAATACAACTAAATGATCATAATAACAATTAATCATAAAAAAAAACAGATCCTTAATAGTTTTGAATAATTATTGTGATGTAATAGAAAGTGCACATAAAAGTAAGAATAATTTCAGGACATGAGCAATGAAAATATGCAGAATTAACACTTTTTAAAAAGAAGAATGTGAATCACATATTAATGCATGCATTGGAAAGTGGAAAGAGATAATGAGTTTGGATGCTCCAAAATTTATGGTTTCCATTTACCTTTTTGTAGGAGACACTTTTTAAATTTACTATGAAACTACCTTAAACTGATTAAGATTACATCAGCAAAAACTTCACATTGATTTTGTATTGGAGAAAAAAATAGCATGAATAATACACTTTTAAACTTAATAGATGTAAAGAAAAAAATCAAATTAAATTATATATTTATACTTTGGTAAGAAAGGGGATCACAATAGGTAGAATGACTTTTAACAGTCAAAATGCTAGCAACTAAATGCAATAGAGTATTTAATAAATATGAACAGGAAACAAAATGTGAAATAGAAAATGGTGATAAATCAATCTAATTGCAACAACAAAAAGAGAAAAACGGATTAAACATGTGCAAGGAAGTGTTATAAAACTATCCATAACAAATGGCATCTGTAGCTGCGTTATGGTCGAATGCTTTGGTATATCCCTCAGAATAGGGCGAAATAGATATTCATTTATCTTCAAACTAGGCAATAAAGGATTTCTGGTGTTGTGAAACCCAGCCAAGTTATCTAGCCGGAACCTATTTATTGATAAAGCAAGTTTCTTATACCTTTTACTCCTTATCATTATCAAGAAAAATTAGGGATTCATGAAGTGGGATACGTTCCCATGGTTACATGTTCCTAACACGTCTGTATTTCAGTTTATTGGAAGGCATTGATGCCGAAAAAAATGTAATTGAACTCTTAATTAAAGAAAAAATACTTGATTTAATTTCTTTTACTTCAAGTAATATAATTGCCTGGCTACAGAGAAATTAGTAGACCATTATCAAAAAAAAAAAAAAAAAAAAAAAAAAAAAAAAAAAAAAAAAAAAGGAAAACAGATTTTTTTTTCACGAAACTGTGGAATTCGTTGTTTCAGTCGTCGACGAGTTCTCTGCTCATATTGTTTTAGCTGATACTTTATCCACATATTAAGCATCTGGACTTGGTCCGTGGAGTCTGGAGTAGAAATGCACAACTAAGGAGTAGAAATGTACAGCAATCTCAAAATTGTATTAAAGATACTGTGATATCCATAACAATAACAGCAACTTTGACACAGACATGATACGTGAAATGGGCAACTAAACTATATTTTTGTGGTATTCTGATAACATCCTCACTTTTCTTCAGAAAGGGAAATGCACTAAATAATTTCAACAGATGAGTGGTAGAGTTAATCAGTTCTTATACTTTTGGATGAATATTTCTTTGCAGGCTTAGTAAAGGAAGAAAGAAACGAACACATTGACATAAAACTTTAAAAAGTAAATATTTGCTCATTACATCGAAAAAACTGTATTCTGAACAATTGGTTCTTGACAATGAAGCAAGAATTGTGGTAGGCAATACAGGGACGAAAAAATGTAATGGAACTTATACAGGGAAAGTTTTAACAAACGATTTAAGAGAAACTGGAAATAGAGGTCGCTAGTCAGTGAACATTCTCTCTTCTCTCTCTCTCTCTCTTCTCTTTCCTCTTTCCTCTCTCTTCTCTTCTCTCTCTCTCTCTTGACCTTCGCCTTTTCTCTGTCTTTTTTGAAAATTGTAGAAATTTTGTAAAATGATATCAATTAACGGATATAATGATAAGCGGTAAATATATGAATTATGTATTTAAATTATATTAACCTCTAACGAGTACGTAAAGTGGTGACTGGGTAGTTATCTACCGTCCTTTAAATAAATACTTGGCAACACTTATACAAAATATATACAAATAGAGCTTCCACAATTTTACGTTGGGGTGTTTATACTAATAAAAAACATAAACGAGATTGCTAGTTCTGGGCTTGGCCCGTAATCTAGCTATTTTCTTTATAGATGACATAATACCTTTATTTAAGGACCTTTTCTGTACTCTAAAAAAACAGTTGCTGGAAGCTTTCGGGCCGTTGGCACTACAACCTGGGTCCTGACGTCATCTACGACTACTTCAGCAGTGCGGACGAAAATACTCTGTAGATTTGGAATGGACAAGTCTGGAATTTATTGTTAAATCATTCGACCTCATTTGTTCTTTGTAATTTGACATGTCAGGGAACAAAAATAATTCCAATAACATTATTACGTTTAGCGATTTCCTTGTGAAAATTTGAGGTGGCAGCTTCACGGGGACACCACGGAAATTGGGATTCCATGGTATATTTGGGACTCCTGTCGCTGCCAGTGACTGTTAAGGGATCTCGGATGTACTCTAAGAGCAGTACTTTTATTATTGTTATTATTATTTTATCTTATTGCACGCAGTCGACCAGCTTTAGCCTTTATTTATTCAACGCCGTCATCTGAAAGCTGGGAAATCGAAGCGTCACCTTTATAAGGATCGAAATGACATTTTTAGAAGGGTTGAGGGGTACCTTTACAAGCACTCACGGATATTTAAGAAACGCCCAAAAAGCACCACTGAAAAGTCACCTTTATCAGGGCCGAAGGGGTACCTTTAGACGAGACAAAAACCTTTCATGGGAATGTCCGAATGCCTCTGTTTTGACTGTGTTTAGGGTATCAGCTAAATTTAATCCGAACCTCACCGGAACTGTTTTTTCTTTCTATTTTCTTCTTTCTTCTTAATTGGGGCATCAGCTAAATTTAACCCGAACCTAACCGGAACTTCTTTCTTTCTTTTTTCTTCTTAATCTTTACGCTTTTAAGAATTTCATCAAGGGGATGTAAACCAGGCGGCGGGCGTTCTCAGACCAGAGGAAGTCCAGATGGTTGAACCTTCTGACCGGAACTTTGTAGTTTAGCGTCACGTTCGGAAGTTCCTTTGCGATTCGCGCCACATCCTAAAAAAAAAGAAAAAGTGGTAGCCAAGTAAGGCGTGTATGAGAATGCTATATACGTCACGGAATTGTGTAAAAGCACCTGTAAAACTAGTAACTGCGCGGCAAAATGGCAGGAATGATTGCAAAACACTTCATGAAAGCTGATACTAAAAAAAAAAAAAAGTTCAAAATAATGGATTACTTTTCCGCCAAAAAGAAATGTAAAAATAATTAAAAAGCGTGACATTCCTTTCTTGCACATAGTACGTTTATCTAAAAGACTCCAATATACCATAAAAGACATTGAAAAAAAAAACCGCAAATGAAAAAAAGGAAGAAGAAAAAGAAAGAAAGAAAGAAAGAAAGAAAGAAAGAAAAAAACTGCCCGATTTCGCACTAAATTTACTTACTCTAGGCGTGTTGATCCAGTCATCTTCTGACCAAAACAAACCCACGGGGACAGTGACTCGTTTTAGCGAGTACTGGCGGGGCGTGAGTGACCCATACTCGTCGAGGTTTCTTGTTGGGCCGTAGTCAAACGCTTGAAACCTCCCTGTAAAAGAAGGAAAGAAAAAAAAAGAAGAGGAAGAAGAAGAAAAAGGGAAAAAAGAAGAAAAAGAAAAGGGGGAAAGAAAAAAAAAAGAAAAATAGGAAAAGTAGAGGAAGAAGAAGAAAGGAAAAAAAAGGAAAAGACAAAAAGAAGAAAATGGGAAAGGAGGAAGAAGAAGGAAAAGGGAGAAGAAGAAAAGGAAGAAGAAAATGGGAAAACATGAATAAGAAACAAAGGGAAAAAAGAGGAAGAAGAAAAGAAAAAAAAGGAGGAAAAAGAAGAAGAAAGAAAGAAATGAAAGAAAAGGTTAATGACTTCCTTTTCGTAATATTTAGTCGTATAATAAAATACGAAGACAGTAGAAAAAATACAACAGCAAAGATCAATCGAAAGTTAACCTAATTACAATTTGGGTAACAGTTTTGCATAAGTTCATTTGGCAATTTCTTGTATTCGTTTCGAAACAAGGGGAAACTAAAAAAAAAAAAAACGGAACTTACTCTTACAAACAAGACCAAAGAGTAATACTTTCATATCTTAATTATGAATTATATAAAAATCATATTTTCATTTCTTAATAATGATTCAAAACAAGAGCTGCCAGAGAAAGAAAGAAAGATGAAAAAAAAAACAAAAAACGGTCAGGCCGAACCTTAGCACTTGGAAAAATAAATAAAATAAATAAGTGTACAGAATAATCTCAAACATTATTTCAAGATGAAGAAAGAAAAAGGGAAAGAAGAAGAAGAAGAAAAGAAAGAAAGGAGATAAAAAATTATAAAAGAAGCAGAACGAAGAAAAATGAACTGTATACAAACGGGCCAAAATCAGCTGAGAGTAATGCGTGAGGATCCTGGTCGCGACGCCGGCGGGTGTGTGAGCGACGATAACGGGGAGGTAATCCTGACGAAGAGAAAGAGAGAAGAGAAAAAGAATAAATGATAAAAAGGGAAAAAAATGAATAAAAGAAAATACGAAAAAAAAATATGGAAAGGTCATTATCAGTCACGAAAGATGAGTTTATGATTATGAAAGGAGTTTGCAAATGGTTTGTAGTTTTCTATGGTTGTTATGAAAGGAGGGAGGTGGGGTGGAGGGGAAGGGGGGGTGAGGGTGGAAGGAGGGAAGGAAGGATAAAGGAAAAGAGGGAAGGAAAGGGGGGAGAAAGAAGCGTAGAGAACTTGCGGGAAGGAGGTTCAGGGGAGGGGGAAAGGAGGGTAGTGGGAGGGGAGGAGGAGGGAGGGAGTGAAGGAGGGAGGGAAGGAGGGAAGGATGGAAGGAATGAGGAAAGGAAAGGGGGGGGGGTAAAGGTAGGGAGGGAGGGAAGGGAGAGAGGTTCAGGGGAAGCATGGATGGGAGAAGGGTAGATGGAGGAGAGGAGGGAAGGAAAGAAAGATGAAATAAAGAAAGGAAGGGGGAGAGAAAAAAACGTAGAAGCAAGGTAGAAGGAAGGATAAATAGACAAACAAATAAACAGACAAACATACATATAAACCCACCCTTTGAATTTCGTGCCGGGAAGGTCCAGCAACGAGAGCAATGACCTTGAGGCAAATACTACTGGTCCACGCCTCGGGTGAACAGAGTTTGGCTAGACTTGTTTTCGTTTCGGCGGATAACCGACCTGTTTCGTATTTGCTCGCACTCCCGCCAACCATCTATGAAAAAAATAGTGGGAGTGTAAGGATTGTAAGGGGAAATATGGTGATGTAAACATTGTAAAGGATGGCGGAAAAAAAAGAAATAAGATTTTAGTATAGTCCCCCGTGAATGCAATAAAAAAGAAAACGATTGGTTACAAAATAACATGTCCATCTATAGCAATATCAACAGCGTACAAAAGCAATATCTGTATAGGTAAGGTTAATGTACTGGATTTATGCTAAACAAATATAACAAAAGAAAGAACAAGAAAACACTCGTTTGCCCAGAAATAAGGTTGACAAACTTAAAATACCATATTTGGCAAACACAAACAAAATGCTGAAATGAACTACCATTTTAACCGATTCCTAGGAGAGAATATGTAACCTCGGAAAGAAATTAATCCAATCCGCAACTTAAATGATTGGGTGTATAATTATATTCCCCCATTTAAACTCACCTGGTTGAACATAGAAAGCAGCCTATAACCAGCAAAAATATTATGAATATACGCCGACGGGGCCATGGCAACCATCTTCCGGACCTAAGGTTAGAAATACAAAAATATTACGAAGAAAACGGGAATATATTTTTCTTTATTTATCTATCAATTTTATAGTATTATCAAAACAACCAATCTATCCATTACCATTTATCCTATAATAAATATCAATACATACTAATAATACAACAATAATAATAATAATAATAATAATGAAATACAAAGAAAACCTAATTATCAT